AAGTTATTTAAAATTAAACGCCATTTTAGCACGATAGCTTTTAATGCTAAAAAATTATAAATTTAAGATATAACAGTTTAGTTTTCAAGTTTCAATTTTGTTCATGATAAAGCCATGAAACGGTTGTACTATATGCCGGTGACACTTTTTATGGGTAACAAACACTTTCGACTGCAAATTAATTTTGGAACTTTTTCTGAATACGCATACTGGAAAATGAGTTTAAAAAAAGAAAACTAAAAGGAAACGGTGGGCGCTATTTAATATTGTTTTTAATTTAGACAGACAACACTTATCGTGAAATTTTATAAAAAAATTATTTAGTAGTATTTAATTTTATTTATGATATTTTGTAAAATATAACAATTTCATCAAGTTTGTATTTTATTGAATTTCGCACAATTTCGTAACGTAACAATAAAGTTGCAACCTGTATACATCCCACTGCTGGGCACAGGCCTACTCTCATTTCTGAGAGGGTTTTAGGGCAAGGAAGTGTCTACCGCGCTGCCCCAATGCGTGTTGGCGAACTTCACATCTCTTTGAAATAATTTTATTTATTATTGCTCAGACATGCAGGCTGAATATTTTTATACATGGTAGAGCCACGGTGGAGCTATATTATGGTTGTAGCACAAATGGGTCGGCTTGACAGTATAATGTCCAGTCAAAATAGACATTTGACTTAGCCAAAATTCGCATAGAGCTGAAAATTAGCGGAGACGTTAAATACATCATTATAAATAAAATGTCAAAAATCCCCTTCGATCCTACTTCTGCAAAAAATTTGTTCAAGATCAAACGTACAAAATTAAGTTTTTTTACATTTTTCTCGAAAGCGGTAGGTTTTATCGTGAAAATAGGTCAGACAAAGGTTGTAGATCACACAATTCTCTAATGATCAAAGTGGAATAGGTTGTTTTTTAACAAACGAGCACACAGTCCACCTGATGGTAATTGTTTTTTTTTTAGTTTATCTCTATAGCGGATTTTTATCATTATTATGTTAGTAAGTATAACAGTACACTTTTAAAGAAATTTAATTATATACATATATATATATATATATATATATATATATATATATATATATATATATATATATATATATATATATATATATATATATATATATAGCTCATGAACAATGCTTGTTATTCATGAAGTACAATAATAATGAATGTATTTTCATTATTATTATTTATAAAACGTTACACGGGAATTTTCTCGTGTATTGTCGAGGCTAAAATGCTAAAATGCCTCATTCATAAATTGCACAAAGACAAACATTTGTACAGACATAAGATAAGATAAGATAAGATAATCATTTATTGTCATAACTGTGTACATGAGGTCTTACAAATACAGAGTATAGTAACAACAGTTTGTCCATTTCGGACGTACAATATAATAAAAAATAAAATAAAGCACTACAATAAATCAATAATTACTTCCAAAAAATTCATCTAAATTATAAAAACATTTTGGTAATAACCATTCTTTTAACTTTTTTTTAAATCTTGGGCTCTCTAACGATTTAATGTATATAGGTAAATGGTTAAAGATTCTGATTCCGCTTATTAAAGTACTTTTACTATAAATGTAACTAGATGATTTAAAAATGCACACATCAAAAGCATGTTGAGTTCGTAAGTTCTTTTTTGATTCTTTTTTAATATTAAAATGTTGTCGGTTATCTTTGACAAACACAGAAATTTCAAGTATGTATATACAAGTCAACGTCAGAAATTTACAATCTATAAATACATTTCTTAAAGAGTCATATTGATTAATATTATACATAATTCTTAAGCACTTTTTTTGCAAAACAAATGTCGACTGAATGTCAACAGAATTGCCCCAGAATATAATTCCATATGTCAGAAGTGGATAGACATGACCATAGTAATAATTTTTTGCTACATCTCTAGATGCTACATTTTTCAATATTGATATGGCGTAACAACTGCTTGAAATCCTACTGTTTACTTTCTGAACATGTGATTTCCAGTTCAAATTACTATCAATGTTGATACCCAGAAATCTCATGTCATGCACTTTCTCAATTTTTTCACCGTCGATTATAATATTTAATTCAATTGGAGCTTTTCTATAATTCCTAAATTCTATTAGTTTTGTTTTTCCCAAATTTACTTTTAAATTAATTGAAGTTAGCCAGTTCACTACTGTGTTTAGTGTGTTATAAATTTCATTCACAAAATATGCATCATCTAGTTTATCTCTTGATAAGAATATTGTAGCATCATCAGCATACATTACACATAGATGATTGATCATTAATGGAAGCTCATTTATGTAAATTAAAAACATCAGTGGGCCTAGTATGCTACCTTGCGGTACACCTAGGCTTAATTTTTTGAAATCGGAATGCACTTGAGTTATTGATTTTGTTTTTTTGTCAAATGTATCTAATATTGTCGCCTGTATTCTGTCAGTTAAATAAGATTCCATTAATTTTAGGGCTATTCCACGTATGCCTATATGTTCAAGCTGTTTTATCAATATATTATGAACAACACATTCAAACGCTTTTGACAGATCCAAAAAGAGACCAACACAAGTCCTTTTTTGATCTACATCTTTCCAAATATCTTTCAAAACTTTGAATATAGCCAATGTCGTGTTCTTCCCTTTTTGAAACCCAAATTGATTTACATTTAATATCTTATATTTGTCTAAAAATGATATTAACCTATTTGCTATGACTTTTTCGAATATTTTTGAAAAATTTGATAATAGAGCAATAGGTCTATAATTATTCATGTCATTTTTGGCACCTTTTTTGTATAAAGGCTTTATTAGTGTTTTTTTCAACTCATTTGGAAAAATTCCTGTTTCTAACATCACGTTTATAATATACGTTAGAGGTTCCGCTATTAAATGTGTACTTGATTTTATTGCTTTCATCGGTATTTTATCGTAGCCTATACTTTTTTTGTTCTTTAAATTATTCATAATGTTAATAGTTTCGGAAGTATTTACAGGGGTCATAAAAATGCTATTTAAATTTAGATTAGTCACTGGCTTGAATGTTATGTCGCCAATAGATTGGATAGGATTATTTAGTTTGTTATAATAGTCATTCATTAATTTAGCTATGTCATGAGGTTGATTAATTGTAATGTCATCTTTTTGAATAGTTTCTATTGTCTCATTAATATTATTCATTTTTGTAGTATTTTGTTTAATAACTAGCCACATAGCTTTACTTTTATTACTACTTTGGTGTATATAGTTAATGTTTGCATTTCTTTTTGATTGCTTAGTAACTGCCTTCATAATTTTACAATAACTTTTGTATCTATTTTTCGCAGCAAGGCAGTTTGTATACCGTTTCTTTAAATATAACTGTCTTTTGTTCCTACTGGATATCGTAATACCTTTTGTTTTCCACTTTAATCTCTTTTTATATGTTATTTTAATTTTTTTATTTGGCACACAAAGATCGTAAATCAGACTAAACTGATCTAAAAATATTGTATACGCGTCATTGGGATCACATTGTGAATAAACATCTGTAAAATTAATCTGTGATAGGTATTTTAAGAAAATCTCTATATACATGTCTGGGTTTCTTATAAACATATACCAAAACTTATTCTTAAAGCTTTTGTTTGAGGGAATCGTTATCAATTGACAAGTATGATCAGATACCCCAACATCTAATACACTAACATTATGTTGTTTCATATTAGTCATAATATTATCAATACATGTTTGTGAGTGTGAAGTAATTCTGGTAGGTATCAAAATAGTAGGATGTCATTTATAAGCCTGAAACATGTTCAGTAGCGATTTACTTTGTTTATGATTTTCTAATATATTTACATTAAAATCACCTAATACAAATATATTTTTATAACAATTTCGTGTTCGTATTGTTATTTTTCTTAATAAATACTCCATATTAATCAAAAAAACATCCAAGTCACTATTTGGTGTTCTATACACGGATATTATTAAATAGTTTAATCCACTTATTAACACACCACAACATTCAAAATGATTTTCTATAGCCATTTCTGATAACCATTGAAGTTCGTGGTAATCAATAGATTTTTTTACAAAAATGGCAACACCGCCTCCCTTTTTTACGTTTCCTACAGAAATGAGCTCCTTTTTTATATCCGTCAATTTGAAATATGTCAACTTCGTGATTCTTTAAAAAGTTTCACAAAAACAACATACATGGATGTTTTTCTCCAGCATTAGCAATTCCAATTGTTCTGTTTTTGATTTAATACTTTGAACATTTAAGTGAATTATATTAAAACAGTTTTCATCTTTCTTTACGAAAAAAAGTCTGAATTTTTGTCACTTTCAATAGTTTTGTTAGGACCGAGAGTAGCATTAGCTTGTTTAAGTTTTATTTTGTTGAAAATATATGGAATAGTTAGTTGAACTTTACTTATATTTGTGTTATTATTAGTAACATTATTTGTCTTTGTGATATTATTTTTTTGAAGTATTGTGTAATTTCTTTTTGCACTATTTTTGAGTTAGGTTGTTTTAAACATTGCGGTTTGATGGTGTTATAATCAACAAATCTATTTCTGTAATCTACACTGAGTATTTCTCTTAACATAAGTCTACTCATATATAACTTATAATGTTGCTTTGTGTCTCCATAGTTTAATGGTACGAATCTAGCGTGATGAAATTGAGAACACAAGAAACGCAACTGATCATTTAATTTATCAATATTTAAGATTCTGTTGTTTAATATTTCACCAACTAGTACATTTGTGTTTGATAGTAAGGATAAGTGGTAATACAGAGAAGATCTGAAGTTAAGTGGATTGCGGTCGTTTGAACCCGCTATAATTATAACATAGTCAGATTTAGTAAAATCTTTACATATAGTATTACAATATGTTAAAATTTGTGATAGAAAAGCATTTGGTTTTACTATAGATGTCACTTGGAATTCTTTATCAATTATATTTTGGAGTAAACTGCGAAAACCTTTACCGTTTTGATCACTTAATATTAATACCTTTTTTCGTCTCATTTGTTATAGTATTGTCAGTGGAGTCTTCTCTTTTCTGTGCAGGCAATTTAGTAGTATTATCCCCATTTCTTACATTCTCCGGTGTCTTTTTTGGGCTGGATGATTTATTTTCATCTGATTCATTATGTGGTTGAGTAACAAATTTATCTTTTGTTTGGTCTAAGCAAGTGAAATCAAATTTATTTTTATTTAGGCTCTTGCGTCCTCTTAAACTAGCACTTCTTACCGGCGTTGTTTGACATATGTGTGTCAGTTGTTTCGTCTTTTTTTCATAGTTTAAAATTTGTCTTTTTAGAGAGCTATTTTCCAACAATAAATTTTCTATTTCTGTTTCGGCTATTTGGAGTTTATTTTCTAAGTTAGCTATTTTTATTTTGAGGTCATCCAAAACCTCGTTCATAACAAGACCTTCATACATACGGACATACTACTATACTACATATATACGGACTATACTACATACATACGGACATACATACATACAGACATACATACATACAGACTACGCAACGGCTTTTTCTGTGTGGGATTCGAGGGTTATTCCGTTTATCCACCCTAAGAAATTCACCCCAGGGTGGTTACTCGCAAACGCGTGTGAATTACGATTATCCACCAGACGGGGTGGATAATCGTAATTCACATACACTTTTTCTAAAAAATAAAAATATAAATTTCTTTGCAACTTTCCGCTAAACATATAAAATGATGTGTCTTACCTGGAATGAAGCGCACCTCCCGCCCTCCCTTAATTGCATACACTAACTCCGTCACCACTATACCAAGCACCACTACTCTCAACACCACTATTCCAGGCAAGACACACCATCGACGATAATACGACACGTGTTTCGCCTCTACACGAGGCATCATCAGGTAATATAGACTCTACGGCGGCTGACCGCTAAGTGAGCGGCGAGTCGAAACAGTTGCTATTTATACACGCTGACACAATCGCTCCCTACCAAAGTAGCGAGTGACCGCGTCGTGCGATAACAAAACTGCCAACAGTTATTATTATTGTTATGATTATTTTTAAATACTATTATTATTATTGTTTTGAGTGACAGCGCCGTGCGATAACAAATCTGCTACTAATTATTATTATTGTTATGATTAATATTTTAAATACTATTATTATTATTTTTTTATTGATATTATTATAATTATTTATTACTATTAATCTTAAAATTATTATTAAAGATTGGCCTTAAAGATGTTTAACAAAGGTGAATTAGAAATATTTGTTTGTTCATTCAGCAGTGTATAATTACCATTATTACTTTTTAAAATCTCCAACTGCTCCAGCACACACAGTCGCAGCCCCTTATTACAGGTATGTAACACTTCAAAGGAATGGTCGCTAGCTAGGTTGTGTCCAGTGTCCAAGAGATGTTTAGCAAAATGGGATTTATCAGGATTGCAATTTCTGTACGCGGCCATATGTTCTTTATAGCGCGTCCCGAAATTGCGACCAGTCTGACCCACGTAAACGGCGTGGCATTCGTCACAAACAAGTTTATAAACACCCGATTTTTGACTAATTAACTTATCTTTATTATTACAAATATTCCTAAGCGAATTGTTTGTTTTGAATGCCACGTTAACGCCGTTTTTCTTAAGACTATTAGCTATTTTTTCCGATATGGGGCCTAAGTAGGTCAAACTACCCACATACCGCCGGACACTTTGAGATCGAACCGCGTACAAAGAATTGCGAACAACATGCTTTTGTTTCTTTTTAATAAGATTATCAATGAGACTTTTTGAAAAACCATTAGAGACCGCAATTTGATAAATTATATTAAGTTCTTTTAAATAATTTTCTTTATTTAATGGAACAGTGGACAGACGGTTAATGTAACAATAAAAAAGCGGCTAATTTATGTTGCCATGGATGACACGATGATGCGGGGATGACCGTGTCGGTATGAGTTGGCTTTCGATAAATTTGAAAAACATGTAACGACTCTTTTCTTGTTATTGTTAAATCAAGGAAATTAAGGGAGCCATCTTGTTCCAATTCAAGCTTAAATTTAATTTTTTTCGTGGACTCTATTTATTTTATTAAGGAAAACATCCAGTTGTCTCCTTGTGCCTGTCCAGCAAATAATTATGTCGTCTACATATCGATAATAGTATAAGATATTTTGGTTAACAACTATATGTTGTTTTTCGAAATCATCCATGAAAATGTCCGCCATAAGTGGACTTAGAGGGGACCCCATAGCTAACCCTTCTCTTTGTAGATAGAAACGGTTATTAAACCGGAAATAATTTTGTTTCATACAGAGAGAGGTTAAATTAAGAAGATCATTTGTTTCTCCGGGATGCAGACGACGTTTTTTAAAGAGATCTGAGAGTATACGCAAACAGTCAGGGAATGGGACGTTTGTGAAAAGACTATCAACGTCTAAAGACAACAACATAGATTTAGGTGGAATACGAATATCTTTTATTTTGGAAATAAGTTCTAAACTATTTTTAAGGCTGTAAGTGGGGTTGAAACCAGATTTCTCCCGAAGGAGTAAGTTTAATTTTTTAGCAAGGAAATAAGCTGGTGCACCTATATATGAGACAACTGGACGAATAGGAACATGTTCTTTATGTAATTTAGGTAACCCATATAAAGTGGGTGCTTGAGGATTCATTGGAACAAGATTGCTCCGAGACAAGTTGTGATCGGGAAAAACATATGACGACTTTTGTATACATACTTTAATATCCGAAGTAAACTTTTTGGTTGGATCAGACTCTAACAGCTGAAAGTCGTCACTTTGGATAACATCGTTAACCTTCTGGCTATACCCGCTACTCTCCATAATGACAACAGTATTTCCCTTGTCGGCCTTAGTAACAATAAGGTTATTGTCTTTTATTCTATGTTTTAGTGACATAAAAATGGGGAACTCAGGATTGCAATGGGAAGATGCGGGTGCCTCCTGAATTTCTTTAGCTAACAAACTTTTAACGATGTTATCTTTCCTCCCGATCACAGCAGCCACCTCCGCGTCAACGGCTACAGTCTCTAACGATCTTTGGGAGACCGAAGGTGTTAAATTATACTTTAGGCCTTTGTGTAAAAGGGACAACTCATCCGTTGGAAACTGGACATCGGAAAGATTTTTAACACGGGGATAAAATTGGTGATATTCGGTATGTATGTCGTTATTACGTTTACGGGATGAAGAAGATACAAGTCGTTTTAACTTATGGGATTGAATTTGATATTTCTCGTAAATGGCCATTGAAGCAAGTTCTCTGGCTTTCCCATCCAAAATATCAAATTCAATATTATGTAATTTATATGAAAGTTCAGAATATAATACTTTAAGGTGGGTTTTTAAGTTATCTCTATTGGAAAACCAACGACGACATTCCTCATTAAGCCAAATATTCTGAGCTTTGGAAATGGCAACACTGGCCGCTCGACTATGTGTGTTAGAACGTATTTGGATATAATTGGGAATAACATGAAGTTGTTTACACTGCTGATTAAACCAAACATTTTGAGCAGCAATACGATGTAGCTTTGTTAATTTAACATAGAGTCTTGCCTGTTCGGCCGTGCTAGCCTTTTTAAGATAATTGATAGAATCAGGCGTTACTTTGCGGAAATCCATTATAATAAAAAATAAAAATATAAATTTCTTTGCAACTTTCCGCTAAACATATAAAATGATGTGTCTTACCTGGAATGAAGCGCACCTCCCGCCCTCCCTTAATTGCATACACTAACTCCGTCACCACTATACCAAGCACCACTACTCTCAACACCACTATTCCAGGCAAGACACACCATCGACGATAATACGACACGTGTTTCGCCTCTACACGAGGCATCATCAGGTAATATAGACTCTACGGCGGCTGACCGCTAAGTGAGCGGCGAGTCGAAACAGTTGCTATTTATACACGCTGACACAATCGCTCCCTACCAAAGTAGCGAGTGACCGCGTCGTGCGATAACAAAACTGCCAACAGTTATTATTATTGTTATGATTATTTTTAAATACTATTATTATTATTGTTTTGAGTGACAGCGCCGTGCGATAACAAATCTGCTACTAATTATTATTATTGTTATGATTAATATTTTAAATACTATTATTATTATTTTTTTATTGATATTATTATAATTATTTATTACTATTAATCTTAAAATTATTATTAAAGATTGGCCTTAAAGATGTTTAACAAAGGTGAATTAGAAATATTTGTTTGTTCATTCAGCAGTGTATAATTACCATTATTACTTTTTAAAATCTCCAACTGCTCCAGCACACACAGTCGCAGCCCCTTATTACAGGTATGTAACACTTCAAAGGAATGGTCGCTAGCTAGGTTGTGTCCAGTGTCCAAGAGATGTTTAGCAAAATGGGATTTATCAGGATTGCAATTTCTGTACGCGGCCATATGTTCTTTATAGCGCGTCCCGAAATTGCGACCAGTCTGACCCACGTAAACGGCGTGGCATTCGTCACAAACAAGTTTATAAACACCCGATTTTTGACTAATTAACTTATCTTTATTATTACAAATATTCCTAAGCGAATTGTTTGTTTTGAATGCCACGTTAACGCCGTTTTTCTTAAGACTATTAGCTATTTTTTCCGATATGGGGCCTAAGTAGGTCAAACTACCCACATACCGCCGGACACTTTGAGATCGAACCGCGTACAAAGAATTGCGAACAACATGCTTTTGTTTCTTTTTAATAAGATTATCAATGAGACTTTTTGAAAAACCATTAGAGACCGCAATTTGATAAATTATATTAAGTTCTTTTAAATAATTTTCTTTATTTAATGGAACAGTGGACAGACGGTTAATGTAACAATAAAAAGCGGCTAATTTATGTTGCCATGGATGACACGATGATGCGGGGATGACCGTGTCGGTATGAGTTGGCTTTCGATAAATTTGAAAAACATGTAACGACTCTTTTCTTGTTATTGTTAAATCAAGGAAATTAAGGGAGCCATCTTGTTCCAATTCAAGCTTAAATTTAATTTTTTTCGTGGACTCTATTTATTTTATTAAGGAAAACATCCAGTTGTCTCCTTGTGCCTGTCCAGCAAATAATTATGTCGTCTACATATCGATAATAGTATAAGATATTTTGGTTAACAACTATATGTTGTTTTTCGAAATCATCCATGAAAATGTCCGCCATAAGTGGACTTAGAGGGGACCCCATAGCTAACCCTTCTCTTTGTAGATAGAAACGGTTATTAAACCGGAAATAATTTTGTTTCATACAGAGAGAGGTTAAATTAAGAAGATCATTTGTTTCTCCGGGATGCAGACGACGTTTTTTAAAGAGATCTGAGAGTATACGCAAACAGTCAGGGAATGGGACGTTTGTGAAAAGACTATCAACGTCTAAAGACAACAACATAGATTTAGGTGGAATACGAA